TCTCTCTCTCTCTCTCTCTCTCTCTCTCTCTCTCTCTCTCTCTCTCTCTTTCTAGTCAGATAAGCCTTGTCACTCTGCCTGGTGAGTGAGAACCACAGATAAGGAGGTGCAGTTGCTGCCCCTGCTCTCAGATGTGCCACACAACTCTCAGGGCCTGTGAACTGGGGGGCTTCTCTTTGCTGAGCAGTGATCTCTGCCCACTGGAAGTCAGACCCTGGAGGAACCATATAATGATTTCTGTATACTCCCTGCATGCAATTAGACCCCTGGAGCAAAAGCTCTTAAAAGCAGACTGTAAAATGCCCATGTATCTTTATTAAGCCTATTTTCCAACTGGAGGGAGCAACTTCTTGTGATTTTTAATTTTATAAAGTCTATTTTTTTTTTCCTCTAGGCCAAGGGGGAAAAATGCTTGGGCACTAAAAGCTTAGGTATAAAGATGTTCTTTTTTTCCTGTCTCTCAATGATTAAATGCAATTTTATCCATTTAGTAATAATTTGAGTGTGGCTACATTAGATAATACTGATGGAGAGATACAAGGAAAAACTCAATGTAATGAGATAACGATTTATTTTTACTCTTTGTCTTACATTGAAAATTCTGAGGACATTCAAATGAACAATAAAAATAATTGCAAAATTGTCTCCCCAAATGGAAATAGATTTTATTCCCAAGCATTATCAATTTTCTTATGATTTTTTTTCAGAATCAACCACTAAGCCTTTTAAAGCTTCTGGGGACCTGGCTGTTGCAGGAGAAATCAGAAAATTAATCTTGTGGTTGTATTTCAGAGTTTAATGCTGGGAAAGAGGTACACTCGGGATAGGACCTTTGGTCATGTCAGTATTCAGGTGGAGATGAAGACCTCTAGAATTAGAGCTGCATTCTCTGATGAGCACTCCAAAAGGAAGAGGGAAGTTAGTTTTCACTATGGAAAATTATATTTATATCAAATAAGAAAGTGAAGTCATTCCAAATTAGCTTAATTTTAAAGATTACCTTCTGCGTGTCGGTTAGTAGTAAATGTCTGAAACAGGATTATCTGTAATAACATAGACTATCCCTAACTTATGGTCAAAATCTTTCATGGTGGAACATGAAATGGTAATTTCAACTTCAGCCCATTTTTAAGCAGGCAGTCATCCCAGATGCTATTGTAACATTAGTAATGAAGTTTTTCAATACCTTCCCTTGACTTCTGCAAGTTATAAGCTAACTTAATGGGAAAAGGAGCAGAATTTGGAATGTGGGAGGAAAATTGTCCTCATACAGAATGTTGTCTCCCTTGCATGTCCCCGCACTGCCCTTACCCAGCGCCCCCTGCACAGCAGCAGCTTCCTGAGAAGAGCTATGCAAAGGCTCCACCTCTCCTTGTTTTCTTTTTTGACTGCCTGTTTCTTTTCTCCCCCTCTGTTAACTAAGGACGAAAAAGTTTCAACTCTTCAGGGTGCAAAGCAACTTCATTCTTATATAACAGTTTTCTTCCTACTAACCTAACAGTCCATGGATGTCAAATTATGGATTGCAATTTAATTTGAATGCCTTTAGAGTTGTTTATGGTTTGGGGATTGTTTGGACATCATTTTGAGTAAACCTGGGAGCTTGGCACAAAGGCACTGACCTACAAATTAAAGGGAAAAAAGTCACTCCGACAATGCCCACCTCTCCTGCTCTCCAGCTGGCAGAGCAGTCTTCAGAGGCTCCTCCCTCTGCAGATGCAGTGTTAATTATGCTGGGAAGCACCAGGCTCTCCAGTGCCTGCCTTCCCCTTTCTGGGATCCATTTAACTTTTTTTTTCTTTTCATTCTGAATCTTTACTTGTCCCCCCCACCCACCTCAAGATTAAAGTAAACAAATCTCTGTTTCTCTTTATCTTTTCCTGTGCCCTACTTCTTAGACATCATTTTGTCATTTATCAATTTAGCATTGAAACTTTTAGCAAGAAAAAGTCATTTAACTTTGAAGCTCATGCACTTTTTGCAGGGAGGTGCATTTACGTGTATGTGAATTTAAAAAACATTGGGATTTGACTTGAATTAAGTCCACTGAACATGCAAAACCATCAGCCAAATAGATCAGTTTTCCACTTTTCTATATGAAGACATACCTTAATTTTCTAAAAATAAAATAAGAAAACTAAACTATTAATCAGAGATTATACTGCTGCTCTGAAACTGTCCAGAACCAGAGTCTGCTCCTGGGAATTCACACTGAGGCCTTGGGAGGAGTAGATACTTTGAAATTTAGCTACTTAGTTGGAGAAGGGGAAGCTGGGAAAGAAGACTGAAGAATGGGGAGGAGGTTGTTTAGATTCCCAGAAGCATACAAAGGTTTCAGGTGTTTATTTTTACTTATCTGCTAAACATTCTCTCCATAATCTAAGAACGGTTTATGTCTACTTCTTACCCTTCCTGCCAAAACAACACCCATTATTATGGCAACTATTGCCTGTTTTCCCAGGAAAAACTTGGTGTCAGCAATAGCAGAAAAATGAGATGCAGTGGTGAGACCCAAGTTAGAGCTCTCTGATAGCCAGATATTTACATGCAGAAGAGGCTGCCTTTGTTTTTAAGGAAAATGGTGATGGTAGAAGTTGATAACTCAAGAACACAAAGAGAAATAAATAAGTGCCTTATTTTTTCAGTTATATACTTATGCATGGAGTGCATGTTTCTACTGTAAATGAACTTGTTTGCTGACCTACTATCTGGCAAACAAAGCAACCTGATTTAAAGGATATCTTCAGGTTTATTATTTACCAGAACACCTGTCCCTTTTTCAGTCCCTTTCAGAGTGCAATGTTCGTAGACCAGACTTCAGCAATCAAAGTGGAAGATGATTTAAGTTGCAGAAGTGTATATGAAACACTTCTGTTCCTTGGCCCTTGAACTTTAGGGGTGTGCAGTGTCCAGCACCCTCCACCTCTGCCCTCCTGGAACTGGTTCTGTAATTGAAAGCCTGCTCCTCATTAGAGTGCCTGGCAGCCTAGCTCTGCAGCTTTAGTTACAAAGCTATTCAGAGAACTCCCCGACCTAAAGAGACAGACAGTAATGTGTTTAAAGAGAGCACAGTCTGCATTTGAAAAAAGAAAAGGGGGAAAATCCCCACTGAAAATGGCAGAAGGGCTCTGTCCCCCCTCTGCCCTCAGTGCTGATGGGGGAAGGGAATCCCGCTGTTGAACTGGGGGCTGGTGGTTGTTAGGAGTTCTCACCTTACTTCTAGGGCAGCTACAGGACCCAGAGACAGAGGTTCCTGTGTTAACCCAACAGGGAGCTTGGTCGAGGAGGTTGGCCACAGTCACACATGCGTTCTTTCTGATTTCTACCTTAATGGAGGAAGAAAATCAGACTTTGAAAATTTGAATTCTGGTGGACTTCTGAAGTACATTTAAGGCTGGAGAAGGAAGAAAAAGGGTGTGGGAAAGCTCCCCTTCTAGTGTTTATAGAACTTGGATGTTTGACAAAGGGAGCATCAAGCTAATTGTTCTTGAAGCAGGAAATCTGTAGTGGAGGAAGCAGGTGTCCTGGGGTGATTACCATGTTTCAGAATTGCCATACTCACTCTTTTGCTCTTTGGAGCTTGGCTCCAAAGAAGGAAGATGCTGTCCCTTTCCCCATAGGCCAGCCCTGTCAGCCGTGTGTGAAGGAAGGAGAAGGAGCTGGTAGTTGACATGCAGCCGTGTTTCCAATGTCCATTTTCCTTTGTTTCTTTTTCTTTTTCTTTTTTTTTTTTCGGCTTTCGGCATCCCATACTTTTAGAAAACTTGTGACTAAGAGTAAATTCTTATTTTTCAAATTGTTTTCAGACATTTCATGTTCATGTAAACTTGGCTTATTGATTTCCTGATTTTTCTTTATTTTTTTGTTTTGTCCATTTTATTTTTAATCAGCTACATCAAATGGGTCTTTGGAGGGCCTGGATAACCAGGAGGGAGGGGTGTGCCAGACAAGAGCCATGAAGATCCTCATGAAGGTTGGACAAGGTAAAGACCACCTGCTACTTCCCGAAGCCACTGTGCCCTGGTCAGGCCCCGCTAGTGTGGCTCCAGTGTTGACACTCGCCTTCATCCCTCTTCTCCTTAGTTTGGAAAGCAGACACTTCTCTGCACCTCCAGCCACTGAAATTTCCTCAAGCCAATGTAATAAGCTTCTCTTACTGGAGATCTCTCTAAAAGTTAAGGTCAGCCAGGCAGAATGTCTATTGCCATATATGTATACTCTTTTTAAAAAAGCAAAACACCTCTTTGATTCCATTCAAAATCTCCACAATGTAAACTATGTTTCTGCAGTTTTACTCGTTTCCGAATGTTGACTACTGAAGAGCTGTGTTCGTTGTGCCTTTTCACATAGAGATAACCTATTGTGCAGAAAGAAAGAATTATTCTTCTAATTAGAAATTGGTATAGTAGTCAATCAACTTGCTCAGTTAAATTGAAATGTCATCTGCAGTGCTTTGCCTGCCAAATGCAAGAATCCCTATAGTTTCCACAGATGGCCTCACAATCTAAACCTCAGAAATAACTAGTATAACCGTTGTGTTTTAAAAGGAAAATTATATTCTTGTATTTCACAGTGCTTTGCATAAGGAGTCTTATGTTCATTGCTATTCATGCCTCTTGAGATATATGTGCATCTCTTAAAGCTAGATGCTATCAGATGTTAGTGCTGTAATTAATCATTTGTTTTTCATGTAGATGCAAGTTCTGCTGGATCAACCAGGAATAATGATCCAACGAGACGTCCAGAACTGGAAGCTGGTACAAATGGAAGAAGTTCCACAACAAGCCCCTTTGTAAAACGAAACCCAGGTACGCCAGTGTGGTCTGTGTTTGTGGGTTTGTGTGTGCCACGTTCTTAGTATCCTAAGAGGTAGAAGAGAGTCAAAGTGCTTCTGTGCCAGATGAATTAACTAGTAGTTACAGTCATCAGTAATCTTTGCTCTCAGTGTGTTGTTATTAAACTCAGTTAGACAAAATAATTCATTGCCATGAAAGTCTTACATTCAGAAGAGCAGAATTCATCAGATGTAAGAGCCAGTTATTAGTACTACTCCCTCAAATCACAGTTTTCATTGGCTGACACTTTATGGAGCTCATTGTCAACACCAGCTTAAAGCTGATGTTAATGTATATGTAATTAATGTTCTAATCCTCCATCTAATTATATCTAATCCACAAAGAGTCTCACTGATCCTCTTCTGAATTTTAGATGGTAACATTTTTAATACTGCATAATGCTATGCTTTTCAGGTGGCTGTTGTTAATTTTTTCACATCTTCTAACTAAAATAAAATATTAAATGGATTCCTGACTAAGGTTCAGAATACCCGATAAAATTGGCTGCCCTTGAACTTGATTTTCTTAATAGTCTTGGAACTGTGTATATTGGTTACTATGCTAATGAATGTTTCATACATAGCTGGTGAGCAGACGTCAGCGTTTTGTATTAGGGATCTGTGTGCTTGGTTGGTAGTTGTGCAAATTTAGCATCTGCAGCAATATTCTGTCTCTTTCCAAGAGTCAAGGAGGGAAGTTGTTATTTCTGATTTTCAATGACAAGATGTGTCAAATTCTTGTGACAAACTGATAAATGGATAATATAATGATGCCAGGCAATTTTTTAGTGCTTAACATTTGGGTTGGCAGTCTGTTCAGTGCGAGAGTGTCTGCTGCCTTCCAAATATATTTTAAGTGTAAATCAAATAATACAAACGAGTTTCGAGTTGAACCTTTTCCCAGGCCCCGCCACTCTGTTCAGGTTCTGGCGCTGTTCTGCCCTAGGCAGGGTTCTGCCGCGGAAGAAAGGCTGTTTGAAGATCCACATGAAACGGGTTTCTGAAGGGAAGGGGACGAGCCCGGCCACAGGAAGGCTAAACGCTGCCCACAGTGGTGGCCCCTCTTTTTCTTCCTCCCCGCGGTTGCCCCAGGCTGGCGTTCGGGTTAAAGAGGCAGGGAGATCAAGGGCTCGCTGTCACGCCAGTTCGCGCTCCTGAGGGATGGGGACACATGAAAGGAAACGATGTGGTTGGGGACGGCTTGGAAGTCCGACCTGGGCATCCGTCCCCTTTGCCACTGACGGCTGACGTCTGCCGTTAGCATTTAGCTATTAAACGAGGTACCTGGCTCGTGGAAGTCTGGCTGCCCTTTAAGTCACTGGTTTTGCTGGCTTTGGGGGGCGTTTTTTAACGCCGCTGATTAGCCCTGGCGACAGCAGTAACTATTTCTGTCCTTCTCTCCTGGCTCCGTGTCCCTAGATTCCAGCACAGACGGCAACAGCGCCGGACATTCGGGGAACAACATCCTCGGTTCCGAAGTGGCCTTATTCGCAGGGATTGCTTCAGGATGCATCATCTTCATCGTCATCATCATCACGCTCGTGGTGCTGCTGCTGAAATACCGCCGGAGGCACCGCAAGCACTCGCCGCAGCACACCAACACGCTGTCGCTCAGCACGCTGGCCACGCCCAAGCGCAGCAACAACAACGGCTCCGAGCCCAGTGACATTATCATCCCGCTAAGGACTGCGGACAGCGTCTTCTGCCCGCACTACGAGAAGGTGAGCGGCGATTACGGGCACCCGGTGTACATAGTCCAGGAGATGCCCCCGCAGAGCCCCGCCAACATTTACTACAAGGTCTGAGGCTCGGCTTCCTTCGCCCCAGAGGGACCTCAGCGCCCCTCCCGCTGAGGGCGGCCGCCGCCTTGTCGCCGCCCCGGTCAGCACCGGCCCCTGACTGAGCCAGGGCGGGAGCGGGATCACGCCTCGGGGAAGAGCCCCAGCTGGACAGCTTTCTAGTCTGTAGCATTTCGGCCTTGGGGACCGCGAACCCTCCCTGCCAGCCGGAAGACTGTGGCGGGAGACGCCCGATCGTGGGGACTGCTGCGCGCCCCGCGCGTCCTCGAAGCCATGTGCGGCAGTCACTCAGGCCTCTGCGGAAGCCCAGGGAGGGCGCGAGGTGTGGACGAGAGGGCGGAGCGTCCCAAGGCGCTGCTGCCCAGGAGTCCTGCCTGGGCGGGCCTCTCCCGCGGTGCACACTGGACTTGTCCCTCGGACCTCGGGCTAAGTAAGGTCCTCCGCGGTCTCTAGCGTTTAGTCCTCACTGTCTCACTCCTGTGGTCCGGGGCTCGGCAGCACCTCACCTGAGCTCCTCACCTGAGCTCCGCACCTCCACATTCTGCATCACTCACGGGACACTCGTGGCCGGAGCCCCGCTCCTGCCCCCTGCAACAACAGCTGGGGTCACGTGGGCAATCCCCTCAAACCCCGCTCGCTGTAGGTGCCCCCCAGGCGCCAGGTGGTCAGCCAGCCGGGAGGACTGGGAGTTGGTGGAAGGGCCACAGGGAAAGGGCTGGCTGCGACTGCAGGTCCACGCTGCTGCCCCTGAAGTGGAAAGTGGGGAAGGAGAGAGAAGCGAGTAGGTCCCAGCACTTTGGCTTTGCTAAGACTGACGGAGCCAGGAGACACCACACACGCAGGGGATGGCGGTCGTGGGAGGCGGTCACGGTTACCAAACAGCAATGTGCAGGGAAACCAGGTCCCTCTTCCTTCAGTGGGACAAAGCGGGGCACTGTTGAAGTGGAAGAGCCTGGCGGGGAGGGAGAAAGTAGGCCGCTGGCGACGCACTCGGGCAGGACTGTCGTGGTACTGGCAATAAGACATACAGCGCTGGAGCTGTAGGAGAGTCGGTCTGCTTTGGGTGATGTTTTAAGCAGACTCAGCTGCTATACTTGTCACATTTTATTAAACACAGGGAAAGCATTTAGGAGAAGAGCAGAGAGCCAAATCTGACCTAAAAGTTGAAAAGCCAAAGGTCAAACAGGCTGTAATTCCATCACCATTGACATTATTAAAGAATTCTCATATGTAAAAGGTAGGTCAGATTCCCCAGCCCCCCTAAATGCCCCCGTCCCCACCCCCTCCCCCAATTGAGCCTTACGACACTTTGGTTTATGGCGGTGCTGTCCGGGCTGCTAGGCCACAGGGAGGTACTGCCGAGTCCAGTGCCCGGTGCTCGGTGTCAAAGTGAAGCACACAAGGCAAACCTCTTAGAGTCCTTAAGACGGAAGTGAATTATGATGTCGAGGGGGAGAAGGAAGATAGGACATATTTATAATAGGTGTATAGAACACAAGGGATATAAAATGAAAGATTTTTACTAATATATATTTTAAGATTGCACACAGTACACACCAGAAGATGTGAAATTCATTCGTGGCAATTAAGTGATCCCAACGCTCAGTGCTTTAAGAGATGAAATGTAACAATTGGATAGCGACTTCTGGGAAAAACAATACCACTCCAAAAATAACAATAATGAGAGCAAATACAAAAATAACAGTCCTCGGAAAGCATCTCACAGACTGTAGACTAGGAAATACAAGCCCCAAACACCAGGAAGTCGATGTGACTGCGTCATCTATTTAACAATGACAAGATGTTCCGGCATTTATTTTCTGTGTTGGGTTTTCCCTTGCCTTATGGGCTGAAGTGTTCTCTAGAATCCAGCAGTCACACTGAGGGAGTTTCGGTTGAAAGTCTGGCTGGGCTCCCTCCTCCTCTCCTTCCCCCCACCCCACCCTTCCAGAAACAAGAAGAGTAAACAGGAAACCTACTTTTTATGTGCTATGCAAAATAGACATCTTTAGCAGAGTCCTGTTACTATGGTAACACTTTGCTTTCTGAATTGGGAGGGAAAAAAATGTAGCGACAGCATTTGAAGGTTCTCAAACCTCCAGTGAGTACCTGCAAAAATGAGTTGTCACAGAAATTATTATTCCCTATTTCCTGAACCTGAAAATGATGTTGGTCCAAAGTGCGTGTCTGTGTGTATGACTGGGTGTGTGGTATACATGTGTACATATATGTATAATATATATCTCCAATATATATTATATATATCTATATCATATTTCTGTGGAGGGTTGCCATGGTGACCAGTCACAGTACATATGTAATTCTTTCCATCACCCCAACCTCTCCTTTCTGTGCATTCATACAAGATTTTCTTGTAAGCCATCAGAAGTGACTTGTAGGATGGGGGAGAGGGTCGAGGAGGGGAAAAAATGGGAAACAGTCTGATTTTAATGAAATCCAATGTATGTATCATCAGTTGGCTACATTTGGGTTATATGCTAAACTGTGAAAAATCAAATGAGTTGATGAAGAGTTACCTGCAACCAATTGAAAAGTGTTCTGCGAGTCTGTTTTGTGTCTGGTGCAGAAGATGACAATCTACCAACTGTCCCCTTATTTGGAGTTGGTTCAGCTTTGGAAAGTTACTGTAAATGCCTTGCTTGTATTATCGTCCCTAGTCACCTGACTTCGGAATTTGCACCATCGTGTTTAAGTGAAGATGCTGTAAATAGGTTCAGATTTTACTGTCTATGGATTCGGGGTGTTACAGTAGCCTTATTCACCTTTTTAATAAAAATACACGTGAAAACAAGACAGAAATGGTTTTTCTTACCCAGATTGTGTACATAGAGCAATGTTGGTTTTTTATAAAGTCTAAGCAAGATGTTTTGTATAAAATCTGAATTTTGCAATGTATTTAGCTACAGCTTGTTTAACGGCAGTGTCATTCCCCTTTGTGCTGTAATGAGGAAAAAAAATGGTATAAAAGGTTGCCAAATTGCTGCATATTTGTGCCGTAATTATGTACCATGAATATTTATTTAAAATTTCGTTGTCCAGTTTGTAAGTAACACAGTATTATGCTTGAGTTATAAATATTTTTTTCTTTCTTTGTTTTATTTTAATAGCCTGTCATAGGTTTTAAATCTGCTTTAGTTCCACATTGCAGTTACCCCCCCCCCCAGAAAATGAGACCCGTGAAGTCACATTCCACGTCTGTTTCAAACTGAATTTGTTCTTAAAAAAATAAAATATTTTTTTCCTATGGAAAAAAGTGCCTTCAAAGTATTTTCCTTTTCTTCCTTATTTTTTTTTTTTTCAATTTTTTTCTTTCTTTTTGTTTCTTATTTTGATTTGCCTCTTTCAACTCTGTTACTCCAAAATTACAATTATCCAGACCCTTCTGCCCATGAATATTTTGGGCCTGGCTCCTCAAATCAGGTCATGCACATCATGTGAATAATAATGGCTTATGACATCCTAATCATCCTGAACAGGACGTGTCTCTTGCCACACCTGCATTGCGCTGTAGGAATGGTCACCTGCACAGGTAGCTATGGAGGACAAAGAAGGGAATGTACTCTTACCTCGCACTTACTTGCAGATTTATCTTGTTCCCATTTAAGCACAGTGGTTCACAATGGATCGATTTATTTTTCTTCACACAATAATCCCAGGGGAAAGAAAAAAGTCAAGTGTTCTTTGTAAAGTGTTACATTGAGGAAAATCATTTTGTGCTACTGGATTATGATGAACCAGAGGCCAGCAGGGAGACTGACCACGTTTTCAGTGATCTCCTTTCCGGGGAGGGTGACTGTGTGCCCTGAAGGCTGGTAGTAGTTTCCAGGCCTCTTGTGGTCTTAAGGTCTTGTATCATCAGCTCCCTGAGGAGCCGTGAGCAGAGTCCTCCCCCAGGGAAAGCCTCCTCACCTGGGACCTGAGTGTTAAAATCTCTGTGCACATTATCTCAGTTAATCCGTCCCAGAAGGAGTGAGGCATTTTAGGTAGGAAGGATCAGAAAGGCCCTGAAGTCCGGAAGCCAGCCCGACAGTCCTGCCCAAGACCCCAGCCTGGGCAAGTGGAAGGAGCAAGAGACACCCAGGAAGGCTGCTCTGGGAGCCATGGCTCTCTGCAGCTTCAGTCTAGCACAGTACTTGTATTAAAGAAACGTTATTTGAGTAAATGTCTCTGTTAAAAATAAATAAATCCCAGGAGGCCCACTGCCTTGGTTGACATTAAATGGTAGTTTTCACCTGGCAGCATTTATTCTGCTACACCTAACTGCCTCTCATTGGCAGATCCAAGTTTAGGGGCACAATTTACAGGCAAGTCACGAAGCTGGATGCTCAGTCCTATGTACAATGATGCCTAATGTTTAATCTGAGAAAAAGAAAAGAAAAACAATGAAGTATTGTACTTCTGTTACTCTGTGGCCTGCGTTACAATCCTGTAAATTTCAAAACATGTCATAGTTCATGCCTTGTTCTTGAGGCTACATTTCCCATATGGAATCAGCTGGGCTCATGCTCAGACGTGTCTGGGTGTTATCTTTTCAACTGGGAGAAGGAATGGCACCTCCTGAAACTTCCTGCAGAGGCGGTATGGCCAGATGCTCTTGGTCCTTTCTGAGAGTCGAAACCTCTGTGGGACCATCACCACGTGCCAACAATGCAGCTCTTCCAGTTGCCAATGCTACCCCAGTGAAGGTTCTCAAAGGAAAGGGGGAAAGTTATCAGTCAGATAGCCCTCGCTCAGTAACTGCTGTCTAGCTTGCTGTCAGTCTTTGGACCCAGCCCAGAGAGAATTAATGCATAAAAAACCCACAAAATCCAGAGTAGCAAAAATTACTTTTCTAATTTATTTATGTAAAAAAGAAAAGAAAAAGTTTTGAAAAAAAGAAAGGACAATTGTCCTACTGGATAGCAAATAGGTCTTGGGAGAATAATTTGGGGGACATAATTGGTACTGAAGTTCCAATGACACTCAAGTGGATGGTGTGCTTTTGTTTGGTTTGTTTTTATTGGACTTGGAATTGTG